CATACATTCATTCATTCATTCATGCAGCCAGCCAGCCGGCCAGCCTGTCTGTGTGTCTGTCTTCATCCATACCTGGACCTACCCAGCACATGCAATGGAGAAGCACGCCATGTTAATTGCGCCATCAATGTGCAGAACGTGACGTGCACGCGACTCCATGGTACAGTCGCGCCCTTCCAACATCCCGTGGCCGATGGATGCCGACTGCGCGGCACTGTGTGGCTGCGCCCGGTGCCTGCAGTAGGCCTGGGCGGCTGGGAGCCCCGCCTGCGCGGGCCGGGCTCCAGGCCGAGACCTGAACGAACCCGCGCCAGAGCTTCCCTGAGCCCCTATCTCCCTGTGCGGAATCAGGGGGCACTGGCACACTCTCAGCACGGCTCAAGACACTATGGCGCAAACGAATAACAGATATTATGCGGGCCCTTCGGAACACGACCTAGCAGGAAAGTTCAAGGCAGACGAGACACTTCTTCCTTCCAGGCGGCTTTGATGGAGCCTGTCGGCAGCATGAACACGCAGACAGGACATAGCCAAGGAGTCGAGCATCGCAATCAAACCTGCTTTGCAGTGCAGAGCTGCAAGGCTGGATCGGAATCCGGCTGGTGTTGGCAGAAAGGGCGTCGACTGGAGCTGGGTAGTGCAAGCAGGTTACATAAGCCATGAAGATGCCTCCGCCACGCTGCGTTCTCGAGACGGAACCTGCGAACAACCGCAGAGGCCCTAAAAGCACCAACATCGCTGTAATCGCTATGCTGAGGGGGGCCCGAGGCCAGAGAAAGAAGCAGCATTTCCGCTCACGACCTTGTCACGCGCTTGAAACGTATCTTTGGGCACAGACCTGAGGCCACTGCATTGTGAGTGCCAGCCCTCTCGTTTTTATGCACCCTTTGGCCGGCCCTGACCCGTCCGGGAACAAAGCCTCAGCCTCCGAAGGCATCTGCCGCAGCGGCAGGCGCCTTGGGCTCGGTCTCCGTACGGATCTCATGAAGTCCGGACTTAGTCACCTTGTATACTTCAGCTGGACTCCTTACCGGTATCGCAGGTCAGGAATCGACATGGAAGCCAACCATGTACAACTCATCCGACTCATCTCAGCACAGCACTCCTCGGTTGCCAGCGCATGCTCGCACAAGGAAGGGCTGTTGACAAATTGCCTTCACAAAGACGGCGCGGCCAGCATGCCGTTAACTTGCATGGGCTGTCCGCGTAGACAAGGGGACCCTCTGCCGTTTCTGGACACAGCACAGGTAACCAGCAGGCAAGTCTCTGGCCGCGTGCTGGCAGAGTCGCTAGCCTTAGCGCCTTGCTCACTGCAGAAAGAATGATTCGGCCTCTGTGAGGACTCTATCCTTCGGAGTGTCGGATACGTCTGGCGTGCCTTTTGCCTTGCGGCCTTCAAGCAACTCTCTGACATCCGAACCACCCCGAGACGACCGTTCTGTGCCTGGCGACTGCGAGCGCTTGCTGAGCTTCCTCAGACGGAAAATAAGGGGAGTCAGTCGCACTGTACGCGGCACGCAAAGCAGCCCAGTGACACNNCGCAGGGCTTCGTCAAGTTCACGCCCTTCATCTGTCAGAAGCTCCTCATGAGGCTGGGTAGACATGGGAAGTTGCCACGGTGATATTTGGTGTGTTGTGGTCCACGGGGCAAAACGGGTCCAGAACGGAAGAAACTTGACTTGTACAGACTCGTGCTCAGAACCTGGTAGCCCTCCTTCTGCTGAGATTGTCTGTCCACGTGGCCAACCTTCCCGGCACGCGGCAGGGTTATGCGGGAACCACGAATCTTTCGCATTGCAACAGTGAGGGGACACCTCCTCGCTGGGC